CCAAATACATTTTATTATCACTAATCTGGTATTTTTTCATAGTATTTGCATGTCTGTTGTTACAAATGTAACCTTGACGAAATAAATGAGTATTGTATTGTATTTTCCTTTTTGTTTCTTTTTTTTTTTATTACTTTTTTTTCAGTAAAACCCTTTTTCGTAAAATTTCCCATTTCGTGTCGCAAAAATAATAAAGGAATAAAAAAAATTAAAAATTTTATTTTTGCTTTAGGGAATTCATTTTGTTTTCGTTTTGTTTTCAGGGCCTGTAAAAAATAGGTTGGGGGAGTTCGTTAAGGGAAAATTTGAAAAAAAATCGAATAGGGAAAAATTTTATACAGTAAAAGGTTTATGTCAGGTTATTTCTTACACTTATTTTTCACCAGAAAAGGCCCAAAAAAACCCATGACGCGGGATTTTCCCTTTTTAGGGGAGTTAACCCCTTTTTTGGGGAATTAAAATTTTGGGGTTAAAATTAAAAATCCCTTTTAAAAAGGCTTTACTAATACTAAAAAACCCTTTTTGTCCTTTTAAAAATGAAAAGTTTAAATCCCATTTTTTATTATTTTTTTTTTTTCATTTTTTTATTATTATTTTATTACATTCATTTTTTGTTTTTGTATGCAAAACATGCTAGTAGCTGTTACATATTTACAAAAAGGGAATTAACTTCTGTCTAAAATGTTGCTCAAGATGAGTGAAGACTTTTTTTTTTTTTTTTAATAATTTGCCATATACGAATGTTCAGTTTTGAGGAGTTTTCAAATTTAGCAAGTCTTTACTATGGATATAGAGGACGAAAGATGATATAGCGTTTTTCTTATTTTTTCTGCAAATCATCTTTAAACAATTTTGCTTCGTCAGTATATAAGTACAGTCCTACAACATTGCACTTGAGTACCTAGAACTTCAAGATAACTTGAAAAAATGTACGATTTTATTTTTCGAAAAAATATGACATTTAAATTAATAAACATTTGGGGTAGGAACAAAAATTTAAAATTTCTTTTGCTTCCACGGGTGAATTTTGGTTTTAATGGGAACTAAAAAATTTTAAAAAGGTGTTTTTTAAATAAACGGCCGAAATTTGAAAAATTTCCGTCCCCTTTGTAATTAAAGTTGGAATTTTAAACAAAAAAATTTGGTTGGGCCGCCCTTTTCCCCAATTTAAGGGTTTTTTTTCCATTAAAACATTAAAAAAAATTTAAAGTTAAATTTTCCTGGTCAAATTTAAAAAATTAAAACCAAACCAAAAAAACGGCCAAAAAAATTTTAAAAAACCCAAACCCTTTTCTTCCCAAAATAAAATTTTTCCCCCGGTTTCTTGCGATGGAAAAACCCTTCTGGGAAAAGTTAGGGCCAATTTGGAAAATTGCGTTTATAAAAAACCCAAATTGCCCAGAGAACGGTGGCTCCGAACTTGTTACGTCATGCAAGATCTGATAAGGAACCAGATACATCGTCATTTAATGTTGACTAAATCAGACATTTTGTTGAATTTCGTAATTTCTTATTTCTAGTGTTCTTTTAAGTACTTGTGAACGTGTATACACACATAATAGGCTACACTTCTACTGGCAACAACAAAAACAATAGTAGCAGCAGCAGCAACAACCATAACAACAACAATAGCGGCCGCGACGACCATAACGGCCACGTCAGCAGCAGCAGCAACAACAACACTACCTAACAACAACAAAAGCAACATCAACTGTTTAGTCTAAAAAAATAACCCGAAAGATAAAACATTTATAATTTTAACTTATATCTGTGAAAATGAACCACTTCAAACTTAAAAAGAAAGAAAATGCGTCATTTGTTTTGCCATTTTATTAAGATATCATATTTCAATTACACGCTACAGCTTTTTTTAAATATAAAAAAAAATAAAAAGTATAAAAAATTTCACTTTTTTATATAAATTTAAAATTTTTTAAATTTCAGAAGAAAATTCAATATTCACAGAAAATCGATAAACTAAAAAATTTTTTTTCCCAATTATCCCAGTTTCCCAATAAAAAACCCATAAAGAGCCCACCCAACGAAATAGATCCCCTTCTTTTTTGGGAAAAAAGGCGACCAACATAGATTGTTTTCCGTCGGGAAGCCCCATTAATTCCCCCCTTTTAATAAAATTTTTTTATAAAAAACATCCAAAAACCGTGATTTAAATACTGATTCAAGTCTATTAGCATGTTTAATTTTCCACAAATTTAAACACTTGACCAGGATTAATCGTGAACGGGTTTGTATTTCTTTATATTATTATTTGAAAAAATGTTCAAGAACAATTGTTAGAAAACAATTATATTTGTAAAATAAATTTGCGACTTATTGACCAATCTATTTTCAAACCATAAGTTATTCATCTAATTTTAGCATGTTTAAAGATTATTTTAGTCCTTTTGTCAAAACCCCCTACAATTTATTTGTTTAATATTTGGTAAGTGCTTCATTTCAACGGTATTTAATGGAGTTGTACTTAGACGAATGTTTTGAAGCATCAGGTCTCTAAAATGTGCCTGTCCTGGGTATCGAATTTAAGTTTGGTAGACCTGTACTGGTATTATGGTATGGAAATGTTACTTCATGGGCCATGTAATATGTTAGAACTAGGGATTGCAGGCAACTATATTTTTGATGTTCTAGTGGTTTTTTATTACTGTCGAGCTTCAAACTCCCTATGTTGTTGGTTTTTTTGAATACACTAGTTTTTGTTGACGCATGTAATCTTCCACTAGATACATTATCAATATAAGATACGAGTACATAACTACAGTAAACAGATAATTACAGTATTGAATCAATAACATATTTCGTATTTTATTTATCCGATTCTTTAATTATACGATATATATCACACAGAATGTGATTTTTATAGCTAACCTGGTACTATAGTCCGCTATTACACACCTCTATTAAAATCATAAATAACACAAATTACAAAAAACTTAAATAACTAACTGAAATCAAAGATATTACATTTCAATGTCAATCGTTTACTTTTAAGATATCGATTACAGATATCACAGTAGATATTTCATTAATGTAAAAATGTACGCAATTCGATTACGATATTAAATTCGGTATATATGACTTGGCTATCACAACTTGACAATAATATAGTAGGAGGTAAAAAGTAATAAATGAGAATAAAATGTTCGCTCACATTTATAGTAGTTTGACTCGTGTATTTATTTTTGGAACAGATAATCTTACCATCTTTCTTTAAAGGCTCATTAATAAAAAAATATTTTAAAAAATGTTTATTTCAAAAGCATTTTTGGTGTCCTGTTTCAGTTTCAGAAAAAAGTTACTTATTGATCATAAAGCAACCTATAGGGGTCCTTTCAACCATAGCACCAAGGAGTACAGTATTCATAGTTGTTGAGTTTTTGGGATCTCTTTTTGACGCTATTCACCGAATAGTGCTCCAAAATTTGATGAGGATCTGTATTCGGAGTAATTGTTGCTTTTTGTCGATATAGATCTTAAATTATCTGCTGTTTTATAATGGATAGGTAGATTGAAGACAAGATACATTAGTGAAAAGTGTTCCTGTACGATTTGCAACAAATTACTCTCTGTCTGTGTCAGTGTCTATTCTAGGAGGGGGAGATTGGGGATTCACTCATATTTTTGAGAATTCACCCCTAATTTTTCAGTGGCAGGGGAAAAATTTTATAAAGAGAAAGAAGGAAAAAGATCAATAAATGTAATAAATTCTCACTTTTCGATAAAAATCCCCCACCTGTTTTTCAAATCCTAGAATGGACACTGCTGCGTCTGTACGACGTCCATCGTTCATTTACAATCTATATGTTCGTCTACATGATTTTTCTCATTTTGAAATTCCCTGTACAAGATCATGCCTATTACATTCTGACCACTGGGGGAAAACATGTTTTTATCGTCAATAACATTCTTTTGTCATCCTTTATACGATAGGCCTCTCTATTCGACGTTGTGAATGCTTTTCGCCTCGTAATGCACTATGTTTATGGTGTACATTCACATTTTGGTACTCTGTTTGAAAGGATCACTATAGGCAGAGCATTGTCTTATGTGCTTTTTCAATAAGTACAGATTTATTGATATAGTATTTTGCATGGAAGTCAAAATACCACTTTGTATACATTTTGCTACATTTATCTCAATTATTTTACATTCAATGCTCTCATTCTGCAGGCGATCCCACTTGTTCCGTTTTACAACATAATTTACACATTCATTTCTGAGGCACAGTGTGCCTTTAATCGTAATTAGTTTTAAAACATGTTATTTTGTTTCAGTGGTGAATATTATTCATTTGTTTGCATTTTGAAACAGTCACATAAATCTTCCGTACATATATTTAAAAAAAATGCTTTTCATATTCGGGTATATCAATTTTATACCTTTATGTTAAAAATGAGGTATCTGTCATTTATAAAGAAGAAAGGTTACATTTTTACGTCATTCTTTTAAGTGTCAGCAATTGAAAAGATTGCATTTGGACGATAACTATAGTAGGAAATGATAACCCTGTTTGTACAGACAATGTATAGTCTTGCTGCAATTCAATATAAAAATGCAAAAAGTCTAAAAACTGTGTGAAAAAATTGAAGTGCGTATTAAACGACAAACTATCGTGTGCTAAAAAACATGCTTTATACTGGTTGCTTTTACTTTACCACAAAGGGAAACAATCGTGTAAAAAATTATATTGTCAAAATTTATCATTGCTATAATTTTTCGAACGTCGAAACAGGTGTTATATTAAATTTCGATGCATAGAAAATCATAACTTTATCATTCACTTATTGAAACGGATATTAAATCAATTATTTCGTTTTCATTACCAGCTTTCAGTGCGGTGCCTTTTCAAATTTAAATTCAATTCGATTAATTAAAAATCACCACTATTATACATGCCACTTGAGGAGACCAACATTCGTATAGTATATGATTATTAAATACAAGTTTTCAGGTTTAAAATTTCTTTACAAATTATAGGGTGCATGTAATCCCATATGTATAAAATGGCAGCTTTAATTAATACCTGATTGAAAAAAGACCTAAACATGTACTACAAACGAGGTGCTGTTCGGTTTGAATAATTGATTAACATTGCCTAGTGATAAAATACGGCGTCTTAACAACGTAGCAAAGACAAAAACTTTTCGTATGGACGCAATAAGCACGGGACTATTTTACTGTTTGAGTGAAATGAAAGAGAATACGGGTAATTGAATGAGCAAGCAAAATATCTTACGGACGAAATGGTCAGTTCCCATAACATTCATTTCATTCACAAAGGATTAGGGACTAGTGCTTTTTAGATTTAGTTGGGGTTAAAACAAATTAAAAAGAAGAAAGAAGGAGCGTAAAAACAATTCAAATAATGTTATAATAATGCCGAGTCACAGTTGTTAATCAGCTACAGTATTAATAAATATTGTATTTTAAATTTCAATGAAACTATAACAATTTGGTATCAGTGCTAAGCCTGTAGGAGTGTTTGCACGGTGTACAGTATCATGTACAGGGAAAAATCAATGTGATTTAAGAGTATTGTTGAGGTTTGTGACCAAACATATAAATATTTGTACAAGGTCTATTCTATAATTTAATCTTATTAAAATACTTTACTATTTCACCAAGTATAATATTGCAACACGCGAACAAAAAAACTTTTAAAATACACAAGTAATAAAAAAAGTTAGTGCGATAAAAATTTAAATTGTCTCATGGGATCATCGGTATTGGAATAGACAGTTATTGTTGATTTATAAGATTAAATCTGGTTTTGATTTTTTAAATAGTATATAGACGTAAGTGTTGACCGGTTGAAATTAATAATGCACAGGAATCTTTCCACCTGCCTGACATAAACAAATACGGCGGGGATTTAACGTCGGTATGATATTTTAGTGATCAACATGCGGATTTAAAAACGACTTAACTTTTCAAAAGAAAATATCATATAGTGTGGTGTCAGGTAGTTAAAATGGACATGTAATAACTAGTGGATTAAATAAATGTAATAATTGATCCAATATCATGAATTTGGCGTTAATAATTATTTTTTATACGGAATTTCGGTTTTGATAAAAAAATTCTGAAGGCATATTAAACAAGCTTGTGAAGTAGACACTATTGATTTAATGATTGTGTGCATTTTTTATACCAGTTTTCTATAGTTTCATTGATGAATAACGGGGATTTAATTGCGAAAATTGGTATCTTTTGTTTGAAACTCGAATTGTGAAAAGTGCGGAAAAATAGTAAAGATACAATATCCGGAGAGTAATAAAAACGTATCACCGTTGCTAAGTGTAAAACAGATATGAATGAAACTTCCGAAGAAACCGCGGTTGGAAATGATATTGAACTGGAAAGTAGAATACGCCGGAAAAGATCGCGGAATTCATTGCTGATGGAAGAAGATGGAAAATGGAGACCTTTTTGGCAACGCGGACGTACGACACTAGATGAAATGACTGGGCAATCACATCAGAAAAACACGCGCTACCAAAAATTAAGTTCGAGAAAAAATGTTTCGAGAAAAAATAAATTATATCACAGTAATTTAGATCTTAGTAGTGTAGGGAGAGTGAGGAAAAGGGTGAAAATATCTAAAAGCGTATCCATGCAAGGTTTAAACCGCATGCCGCCAATTGACAGTGCTAAAACAGAACTTAGGAATAACACAACGAGGTTATCGCGTACAAATAGTCATTTGAATTTGCCAGTGTTAGAACCGGATGTTGATCTAAATGGAGGACTAGGATCTCGTGACAATAGTGCTGGTACGTCATTTCGGGGTATCAGTAGACATGGTCGCACTTCTGCAGTCCGCGTGAGTTATGATGACGTAGAAACAACGACTGATGATGAGGTCTACCTCTCCGATGACGACCCTGAAATTTCTCGCAGAAATTTAGACAAAGCCGGAGACTATATTGTGGAACATGATTGGATATTAAAAGGAAAGCTAGAGAAAGAAGCACGAAAGGTGAAAAATCTACATAATAAGGTTAAAATTGTTCTTCCAGATGAAGATCCACTCGAGACCATACAGTCAAGAATGGACGAGATTAACATGATGGTCAAGCCACGTGCTGAGTTTGGAAACTTTCTAGAAACCATTGACCCCGAACAGAAGGAACGAATAGTGGTAAGTGTAATTGAAATTCTTAACGTTTTTATAGAACTGTATGCATATATAATATCTTAAACCAATGAAAATATTTTATATACATTAAACAACCATACAAAGCCTAGCAATTCAGGAGTGTCTAAGCAATAATATACTGGTGTAAGAAATTAACAAGAAATATCATTGATATTATTTTAGAATACGTTGCTCGTCAATGTGTATAAGTGCTAAGTGTTTTAGGGCCCAGCCTCAGCATGTCATTTCCGATACTTTCAGTAGTAAAGAACTTTATTTACCATTTTTAGAAACAAACCATTTTATAGAGAAATACGCCCTGGTGCTGTTTACAAAAGGGCGACTTTGTCTAAATACTGTCTATATTTGTTCAAAAGCCCACTATGTTTACATAATATTTCTGTCTCTTCCGTCAAAAAGTTATATCTTATTCATGAATATGGATTAACCATGGACATATTTTACATTTTCTGCCATGTTCATAATGACAATGTGTTCATTGGCGCACTGTTCAATAACATGCCCATTATTTTAACAGGTATTGACATCTGCTATCTAACAACCATGTCAGTATTCTGTGATTTAGTGACATTTCTAAAGTATTTCGTCGATAAAGAGCAAAATTTATGTTTATATAAATTAAATGTATACACTTTTATTAAAAGTCGAACTACAGGACGTAATGGATGTACACATACAATTTCTTACATTAGGGGTGTATTTACCCACGATAACTTGCAGAATCAAAATCCTCTTTATAGATAAAGAAGAGATGTTTTGACTTTAAAATGTTGATACTTTATCTCTAAAATCGCGTTTAAACGCATTCTATCAATAAGAATATTCACGTTAAACTGATACTTTTGTGATCATATATATAACTAGGGAAACCTTTTTTTGTCTCAGGTTTACCACAAAACTATACAATATAATACACAATAAACAATTTCTAACACTCGGTAAATTCATTAATTAAAACATTTATATTGATGTTTTAAGTTAAAGATAAAAATACAGTAAAATGAACTCTCCCATGTTAGCGTTTGTGGCGATATACGAGTATGACTACCTTTCTTGCCAGACACGAGACTCACTAGATGCAAAAATATTGACTATGCAGTAGTAAATTCTGATTTCCAAGAAGTAAATATCGCTTTTACTGATTTAGAAATTTATTCTGTTACTTGAGCAAGGTCTGATAAAAGAACGATTATAAGACGGTGATTATTTCATTATTGATAGGATCGTTATCGTGATTACTGTACTGTATTTCACGTCTGTCGTAAACAGCAATAATACACTTCCATAAAACTACAATAATAAAATATCTCGTTTGTACAATACTGTTTTACTATCACATAAAAACACTTTACCACCACCCAGATGAATAATTCATGTTGGTCAATTTTGTTTAACCCGTTGGTAAATCTTATACATGGACGTAGATGATAACGAATTATTTTTACCTGTCAAATAAGTTCAAGCTTTAAATACCTGACAATGTTTATACATATAGAAGTCTTTAATTAGATAACCAAATAAAACATAGAAGTGGTTTCTTTGACATATTTACATTTAGCAGGTATTAATACAATTATCAGATATTACGGACAATAAGTTACATTAAAGATTCATTTCCTCATTCCAATTACTGCTGGGTTAATTACAGGTAAATCTATTAGGACCTGTACAAGAATTGATCACACGATCTCACTAATGATACGATCTGTTGTAATCAGGTACCTTATAAATGTTAAATAACTTCTCCCAACTCTTCAATCAATCATGAACTCTATGGTAAAAACAACCCGCCTGAAGTAGTTGTACCAAATGTAAGTGAAGTATTGAAGTAGAAAAAAATGTCGTTTCTATATCTTGAACGTTGTATCCGAATGTTAGACATTAGTTGGTCTGTAGAATGATGATTCGTCAGTAAAAAAACACTGCTACTTTGTCTGTATATAGTATACTTATATAAAAAAAATAGTATAGGTATGTAAAAGGTTTTATAAAAAAAAGAAACAATCTTATGTAGATAGAGACAAGTATACTTATACTGACGCTATCGAACAAGCATACAATCTTCAATAGATTAAGATTTCAATCAAAGTTTCATAATTCGACAGATTTAAGTACACTGTATTTCAAATAAAATGCATGAGGAATTTAATAAAATGTTCTGTTTTTTTACAACGAAAAAAATATTCATTTCAGCTTTGATAATAAATGCACATTCATTTAATATTTTCTCCAAAGAGATAAATCAAATATTTACATCAAATTTACACACTCTTCTATTGGAATTGCTGTGTTTATATTTTTGTATTAATTGACAATCACTCTGGCATGGTTTGTAAAGCCCTTAATAGTTTTGAAGATTGTTTACATTGCAATTCAATATATTTTTACGACATTAGATTGAAATGTTTTGTACTTGATATGATGAAGGTAGACGCTGATTATACGTTGTTCACTTTCTTTAAACATAATGTAAACATCTGCTTTCATTCGTTCTTGAGGAGGGCGTCTGAACACCTTATACATATCTATTATAGCTATTTAATTTTATGCAGTCTACTTCCAACGACCAATTTGTTTTTAATGTCTGTGAAGATCGGCTTTAAGATGGGCTTGAGACATGCCTTTATGGCCTATTGAAAGTTACACCCCTAAATTGTGTTTTTTTTTCTCGTCAAAATATTTAAGTAAATAAATACATGAAAATCTTTCATTTTTCTTAGAGTATTAAAAATGCGCAATCCTTGCTAATCGCATTAATCAGGACACTGCACATACCTATTGTATCGGTATAAAAGCAATAGATACTTAATGTTTGGGAAAAAAAAGAAATATGTCATCCGAATATTAAATACATAATATTGACAATACCCTAGATAAATATAAAACATAACCAAGTTTTATGTCATTTTAACAAATTTAAAAGATTATTTTGGGGGAATCTTGGCATGTTTTAACTTCACTACAATACACACTAAATAGCGTGATATCTTTATATCTTTACATCAAAGGTTTTACAGTTTTATTTATAGGTTATACTATATGAATTTTTATAATAATATGTTTTATGAGAGATATTTTTTCTCTTTCCTTTAAATCTTAAGATTTACACAGCAAGGTACGCCTGTCGGTGCACCTCAAACATTGATATCAGTCAATGTGGATTAATTGGAAATTAAACGGCACATTATCTTAAATGGGAAATGTAAATTGAATCAGTCAATTTATATGACTTTAACGTGCTAACAGCAGTATAAACAGTTCGAAAATTGATAGATATGTAAATACAGCTATCTCGTTTACAGTCTGATTTAAAAGGTAATTTGTTTGAGAAAAGTTACAAAAAATCTCGCGTGGTCCATTAACATTTAGTCAGCCCTGATTGATGGGCACCTGGCAAACATTTTGTACACATATTTTACCTAACTATCTCAATTGAAGACTAGTCATGCACTTGCTGGTAATAGGAAGTAATGGACGGGTGAATGTATTTCACATTCTATATGATTATCATTGTATTCTACATTTTCTGGCTACACAGAAGTATATTCTAGTATATCACCCAATCTTATTGTTATCTTATTTTTATGAAGACAATGTCCGATTTGTTTTATTTTTTTCTACCGAAACATAAAAAAATACTTATGCAGTATAAATGGGTAATACAGAATTTCAGCTGAAAAGAATTTCTGTTGATAACATATCAATTATTAATTAATTGATTTATTTATTTTTATTTATGTTTTAGAAATACAAACATGTTAATCACAATGATATACGGAAGAAGAAGCGGAAAAACTGGACGGTATGTAATAATTTATAGTCTATTTAAGTCAGTTTAAGTCATCCATATGAATATATATATATTATCCAACAATAGTGACTTGCCACCTTATAGTCGGTAAATTCCGTAAACGTTACTATCTACTTGTAAAGTTGATAAGAATGTAGATAACCAGTTGTTAAATGGTCTAAATTAAAAAATTCCTCTTAAGGCCGTGTCTACACCTATTCAAGTTTCTTACATGTCACATTTAGATAAGCTAAATAAATGGCCCTTTCAATATTTAATCAGGCACAATTTTTTCTGGAATGTCTAATTAAGATTGCCCAGGATTTATACCTTTGTCTTTGTCTATCATGTTTCTGTAAAATATGTGAATAAAAAAGCGGGAAAATGATGCAATTAGCTAAAAACAATGGAGTAAATGAAATTGAAATGTGTACATTCTTTTAAAATAATGGAAAATGTGAGAAAAATATTTTTTGAGCTGATAAATTGATGCAAATTCTTTATTTGATGAAAGTTTCACTAAATGAACAAGATCATTTAAAATCCATTTTGACTATTTGAAAAACTGATTTTTTTGCTCTTCTGTGTATCAGTTTATTGATTTGATCCTCTGACCAAGATATTTTATACATTTACTAAAATTTACAGATCATGAACACTGAATCAGTAACAAAAAAGTCAGAAAATAATAAAAAAAACAACACTATCACACCTTCGGGGCACATGTTTTGTGTCAAACCGGTGTTATCAGTGTCTTGACAGCCAAAAACTTGTAGAAAAATAGAACGTGTTCTAACTTTCTTGCAAGGAATTATCTTCTTGAATGTCACATAATTTCTCTTTAAAACTCATTCAAGTAGGGTGTCTACACTATCCAATACAAGAGAATATGATACTTGCATTCAAGACTTGGATAGGTGTAGACGGGCACTAAGCTCAGTCGTTAAATGTCTTTCACTTTAAGAATATATAGATGTAAACTCGCTGGTTCGAAGCCTGGTTCAGTCACTTTAATGTCTTTTCTTTTTTAATTTATAAATTGCCATTTCTCTCAAAACTCGAACAAAACGTTTCGATTTTTTGTGTGTATTCTATCTGTGTAGTATGTTTAATTTGCATTATAAACGCGCTGTACTTTTTATCAATAAAAGATGATATAATGAAATAGAAAAAATAAATGTGTAAAAAAAACAACAAAACTTAAAAAGTATCCTTAAACCAGATGTAGTAAAACGATTTTGAATCAATTCTTGTAAATAAATTCCAGAATAAATAAAAATGTGTATCTTCAGTTAGGTATCAAACCAAAGACCTTCAGATCACTAGTTCGGCATCAATACCAATACACCACAACTCATTGACGCGTGAAGTTAACAAATATATAGAGGATATTTGTTTAGTTCAGTGTAAGATCAGAATATATTTCACCGAGTGAGCACCTAAAGGTATATTTCACGAGTGGCGCAGCCACGAGTGAAATATGAACTTTTGGTGTTCACAAGGTGAAATATATCTCGATCTTACACTAAACTAAACAAATTTTCTTTTTATTATATGCAAAGAAACGTTTTAAAAAGACATTTAACCTAATACTGAATGAAAAGCGCGCCAAATAATAATACAACGTGACGTCATTTACGACGTCACGTCATTAAGTTGGTACCCAGTACTGTGCACGCTGGTATTTCACTGAAACAACGTAAGGGGCTTAAATTCAAAACAATGAAATTATCAAAGTGGTAATTTCACTGTTTCAAACAGTGAAATTACCAGTTTTAATTCACTGATATATTTCTATAAACAATCGAAAAGCATGTAATAAATCGATATATTCGTTAGTTACCAGTGTCTATCCAGTGATTTTTACGAAAATTTATGAAGTTTCAGGTCAATATTGTTGGACAATATACATAATGGATCTCACTTCTTGAAACGGATATGTTTATATGAATGCCATTTGTGTGTTCGACTGTAAGCATAATTGCTTCTGTGGAATAGATAACACATGTATGTGTTAAAAATGATATTTAGATGTTCAGCTATGTGTTTGCCCATATGCTACGTAATAGTTCAAAGAAGGCAAAGAAATCATGAAGCACATCATACCGTCTAATATCAGCATTATTCTATAAAAATAAATAAGGAATGACATTAAAATGTTTCGTCTGTTGCACTTAAGGGCCAGTGGGTTCTTACTTTAACTATATATAACCAAATTACATACTCTTTGAGAAAGTGCTTACGGAGAGTTTCTAAAAAAAGCTTTTCAAGCTTCCTACTCAATCCGTACAATTTATTATTTGTCAATTATCATGTAAAATTAAAGTTTATAAATAAAATATTGTTTAAACTAAATAACTGTCAAAAAGCTACATCAACATTTTTTATTTGATTATAAATTTATTTTTAATGAAATTGTCGTTATTTAGAAACATTTTAGTAAAAATTATAAATTAGCTACATGAATTCTTATGTTATTTCGCAGTTAATCGATTTACAGTCAAGTGCTGGCCTCACTTGAACCTTAGTGTCAATATACGTTACAATAACTCATTTATGAAACATGAATAAGTCTTATCTAGATTAAGTTTGTCTTTGCTGTCTATTATAGGGAATTGACAGGTTCCAGGATGCTGTACTCCATATTATTCTCTTATACAGGGCTTGTCATCCGAGAAGAAGGTAAATCATACAACTAATGTAGTGAATTTGAGTTCAGTTGTCACAGTTTTTTGCCACAATCATTATATGGTTATTAACATGTTGGACAACTGCTGCGTTAATAACACGATTTTTTCTCAAAGTTCGCGTTGGTATCAATAATTACATGTTATTTACCAGCTGGAAATGCTAGCTGATTTAAGACCACATGTCATGTTTAATACTTAAGTACTTAATTCTACATAATAAATTGTTTAGTAAACATGTCTAATAATCGTTCAGTAAACCATGGTCAATTCAATAAACAACTGTTAGTGAACTTTCGCTTCGTTGTTGCAAATAATAACCAATGTGTGATTGGTGTATCACCAGTGGACAGTCATAATTTATATTGTTTCGTTTCTCGTTTCTCTAGATATTTTCAGACAATCATATCTTGTATCGTTTTAGCTACATAAATCATATCTTGAATCGTTTTCGCGTTTCTCTACATATCTACATACAATCATATCTTATATCGTTTTTCCCGTTTCTCTAGATATCTGCATTCAATCATATCTTGTATTCGTTTTCCCTTGTCTCTAGATATCTACATACAGTCATATCTTGTATCGTTTTTCCGTTTCTCTAGACATCTACATACAGTCATATCTTGTATCGTTTTCCCGTTTCTCTAGACATCTACATACAGTCATATCTTGTATCGTTTTCCCGTTTCTCTAGACATCTACATACAGTCATATCTTGTATCGTTTTCCCGTTTCTCTAGACATCTACATACAGTCATATCTTGTATCGTTTTTCCGTTTCTCTAGATATCTACATACAGTCATATCTTGTATCGTTTTTCCGTTTCTCTAGATATCTACATACAGTCATATCTTGTATCGTTTTCCCGTTTCTCTAGATATCTACATACAATCATATCTTGTATCTTTTTCCCGTTTCTCTAGATATCTACATACAATCATATCTTGTATCTTTTTCCCGTTTCTCTAGATATCTACATACAATCATATCTTGTATCTTTTTCCCGTTTCTCTAGATATCTACATACAATCATATCTTGTATCGTTTTCCCGTTTCTCTAGATATCTACATACAATCATATCTTGTATCGTTTTCCCGTTTCTCTAGATATCTACATACAGTCATATCTTGTATCGTTTTCCCGTTTCTATAGACATATACATACAATCATATCTTGTATCGTTTTCCCGTTTCTCTAGACATCTACATACAATCATATTCCCGTTTCTCTAGATATCTACATACAATCGTATATCTTGTATCGTTTTCCTGTTTCTCTAGATATCTACATACAATCATATCTTGTATCGTTTTTTCCGTTTCTCTAGATATCTTCATGAGGATAAACCTGATACAGCTCCAGATGGTGTGAAGAAAATCAAACAGAAAAATCAAACAGACCGAGAACTACTGAAAAGATCTAGCGTAATGATATGTTCTAATATACTAGTATACCACGTGACCAGGGTTTTCATCCTGTAAAATCATTGAACGTTACACACGCTAAAGTTACTTGTAATAAGTCTGGGCTGGTAGAGAATCACAATTTACTCGTCTATACACACTTAAAAGCGACAGTCTCCATAGTTACATAAATAAATGTTATTGTATACCTAAAAATCTCAAATATATGTAAATATCACTGTTCAGAAATTAAAAACATTAAGGGCAATATACCGTTGCAGAAGCTTTTGAGATTGAACCAGATCATGTAAACAATATTTCTACAATTGATTGGTATTAAAGTTTACCATTGTACCATCTTATTGTAGATTTGATTCGTAGTTAAATGAAATTGTATTGAGACGCCTCAATTTTACATTTAATAGCTGAAATTTATTTTCATTACAATATGATTAAACTTATATAGCTAACTTATTGCATAAACGGTGCGTATTCTTGCAGTAAAAGGTTTTCTCTTTTCTGATTTCATTGCAGCTTGGGTTTGAAATGCAGTTATCATTGGCAACACAACCAGAATACAGAACAGATGAAGATATTAAAAGGGTAAATCTTTTTCTTATTCCATAGATTTAAAACAAACTTAAGAAAACATGTAGATCTAATAGGTCATTAGAATGATTTGTTATTGTCATGGAACAATCTCTTTATTGTTACGAACCTGATTAAGAACAAATTATGATCAGAACATGTCATTATCTTTGAACTGTTACTTACCATAATAGTAAATGTTAATAATAAATATGCAAGACTAATTTTGTGCTGCTGATTTTTTAATTTCACAGATAACACAAATACTTCGAGCAACCAAAGCATTCAAACATCTGTTTCCCGCACAATTAGAAGAACAGTTAGCCAGGGTGGTTGCGTATGAAAGGTACTCAATGCCTTATTTTGATATATAATTATGTATTAACAAACTCCCTAACTTATATATGCAGGTCTTAAACTCTTCTTACATCCATTTGAAAGGAGATATTAAATATTTTATTTTATTTCAAAACATATTTCTTTTGATAGTACGATTTTGTAGTGTAAACGTTTAGTCCTGTATTAAACCTTTGAATTATGTAAAGCTTTCTTCTCAGTTTACTGATATATTACAATGTCATTCATTTACAATATTTCGTTATATTTCCGAAACAGATATGATAAAAGAAGAATTGTAGCTCAACAAGGCAGGGACCCGGAGAGATTTTATTATATTCTGACTGGAAAATGTAAATATATTTGTCTTTAGATTGTCTTGAGTTATATTCTATTATAATGCAGACATATTCTATTATAATTCAGAAAAAAATCTATAATGTAGGTATCTGATATCTAATCTACTTAATTGTATTTTTTTTAGGATAAACAATTATTTTCAATATACATGAATATGAATGCATGTATATACATGTGTGTACATCAGTTTTTATATTTAGAAGTAAACTGTTTCTGTTTACTACTTAACTGTTGTTTTTATTATATAAATCTAGTTAACAAAGTTCGGGAGTACAGATTGTTGTCTGGTGTTGTTACTCGAGAAGAAGGATTTATTGAGAAGGGAACAACAACAGACGTAAGTCACTATCTTTATATTAGTAATAGTTGTATATAACTGGCCATTTAATGGTTTAAGTTTTCTTGTATACATCGTCTTTCAACAATCATGACATATTTGTATTTTGAGAGGGTGTAGATTAAGCCTTTAATTGTCGTCTGCATTATTGCAGCACCGGTGACAATCTGCTAATAATAATAGAACATAAGAAGCTTAGCACTGAAATCTAGACTACGTCATTCAACGGAATATTATAAAAACATCATTAACTATATCTGTACAGGAAAGAAAATATCGAATGTGTTATGTAGATTTAAGTTGATAATAAGATAAATGTTTATTTTAGTATTTATCATTTGTATAAAATGAATCTTAAATTACAATGAGATAATGACCACAATTATATAAATATTTTTATTTCTTATTAGCCACAAGAAATGTCTCAAAACTGGGCGCGTGAACACCATTTGGTCACGAAAGGTCACGTAGAAGTTCTAATTTTAGATAGAAATGTAAGTATGCCTGAAGTACATTTGTAACATAATGACTCATAACATAATGTAGCCTCATAAATCATTATTTACGATTTGCAGAAATAATTTGTCAAGTGTTTTCCGAATAACAACATAATGTTAATTCATTTTGAATAAGGTAGTTCTAAAGTTCCTTTTAATCGTATATTGAATTTCATTAATAATATCTAACTACCAAATTGTTTGACAAGAAATAATATTTTCATTATGAAATTAAGATGATTTTCAAGGTTTTTTGTTTTGACCATTTTTCAGGATTTTGCAGATTTACTTCACACGTCTAAGGGTCCACCAATAGACTTCCTGCAGTGAGTTTGAATACTTTATATTGTCCGAATTGACCTTTAAACGTTTAATTATTCAATTGTTTGCCCGTTATCATAATCCGATATAACTAATTTTCTCTAAGAGACACTAACACAAGATTTTACGGTTTTTTTTCAAGTTTTTTTGCTATTTTTTATATTTTCATCATCTAACTCGTATGTTATGAGAAAACAACTTCTACACATTCATGCAATTTGTCTCTGATAATACTATAAATGCATCACCCATTCGTTAGTCTGTTAAACAAAATATTGTGTCTTATATACTCCCATCATTCTCTTTTTTAGAATGTTGGATTTATTCAAAGAATTTCCATGTGAAGAATTTGAAAATAATCCTGATGCAATAGATTTCAGATATTATGGGTAGGTTGAGGTTTTATTTATTTCATCCGTATTTGTTAGTCTATCTTTTACTATTTAGCTGATTCGGTGTTATTGTGATTTTGAAAACCCCTTTTAAATGCCCATAAACCAAAACGATATTAATTTTATTTTCAAAGCAACAGTTTCCAAAATGTTACTCATTTTCCTATAACTGAACAATTTCTTTTATTCTCTTACATTTTGTCATCATTTATGCATCTTTTTAGTGGTTAAGTATTTTATAAGTAAATCAAAACACCATGTATTCATTTTGCTACTTTTTATATTATAACACATTCTTCAAAACTTGAACTTTGTTTAGGTCTACTCATTTAACATGCTCTAAATCCATTATTGAAAAAGTATAAAACAAGTGTTTGCATTTTCTAAAGAAGAAAAATATTATTAATATATGACGCTAAGGGGCCAGTTACACAGACGGTCGGTCCCCAATCGGTCATTTAATTTTAAATATACTCGCTGTTATGATCGGTTGTCATTCGTGATTTTATTTCTGGTTTTCTGTGTAAACGGCCATCGGTGACAGAAAGCAAACTCAAACAGGGTTGGGTCGGTGATAAAAACGTGAAATACTATCGGTTTTTATCGTTTGTAAATCGGAGCTAAATCGGGCGTAACGCTGATTAATCGGTGTTTGATAGCTAGTCATCAGTGGTTAAACATTTTCCGTCAGATATGGCTGGTGATTCATATTTGGTTATCTTTGTCCGATCGGCGGTATCGGTGATAAAGAGCTTGCATATCTCGTGATATAGGTTGCTGTCGGTTATTTGTAAAATATGTTCACCGATCGAGAATTTTAAACATAATTAAAAATCCCAATCGGTAATTTTTCACCGATGAAACTTATCTTTCCACAATAGCAATTGATAGGTGGAAAACAGGTGACCAATAGGTGATATCGGTGTTAAATACGTTGTCATCGGTTCACTCCATAATTTGGCTAAAAAACTACCGATCAATCACCGATGGCTCTGTGTAACTGGGGTGTAATACGCCTCGAATAAATTATCTTAAAAAATGTTATAATGTACAGTCGAGACTGTCATATGTGACTTTCCAAGGGATCTTCAGAAAAGGGTCACATATGACAGGGAGTCTCTTAATACAGTCTCAAAGAAAATTAAATTTAAGTATCATCTAGCTGTCTATATACCATTGTGACTTAAAGATCCTTTATGTTTTGTGAGAGTGTATACTGTACAACACTTGCAAAAAAAATATATATGGATATAATTATGCAAATAAAACAACTTTCAAACATCAAAGAATATGTAAAATGTGTACTGAAAATATTTGTGAACATTTTATTTAATCAATAAATTATATGCATTGATTACTTATTGGAAAATTTAACTTAGAATTCATAAAAAATAAAGTTCTAATTACCTCCCTTTAATGGCCTTTATTTATATTAAATGTTAAATTGGGTGATATCTTTATAAATAATGCTTATTTGAACTTACAATATTGACAAATCTTAATTTGAGCATCATATTTATGAAATAAAACCATGAAAAATTGTGTTACAGGATCATTCAACATCTCCATATCCAAAGCTTTTTCTGGTTTAGTATGAATATTTTTTCCGTATTAATTATGCAGTCATAGAAAGGTAATTAAAAAAAATATGCTGCTTAAAAAATCTAAATGTACTTATTCAATTGCTTTGATATGCTTTATATAAAGGTAAACCTCTCTATATATAGGTATATTGTTTAATTTCAGACAAGACACCATCGTTGTAAAAGACAGTAACCGGACGCCTTGGCTACATGTTGTTAAGACGGTAATATTTCAAAATGTTTCAATTTCAACATTATTTGATGGATTTTCTTGCCTTGTTAACAAAACCAGAATACAAGATATCATAAATAATCACATAGAATAGATTAATTTTCTTTTGCGGTAAGATTGTATAGAAAACAAAATGTGATTTGTTTTCTTATTTCGATTACTGAATTTCAAAAAAATATAATTCCGAGGAGGTTTTAATATCAAAATGCAAAACAACAGAATCCCTAAAGAAAGCCAAAACAAAGCAAAATGAAAGATGTTGCTGGCTAGATTTGATTGAGTCTATTCATGGACGTTAGTTGTAATTGCAATTCGGTCCACGTCCCCTAGCACCGGTTTTAGCAGAATTCAACATTTAACATGAAAAAAAAATTCAGTTCAGCAATCAACATGATAAGGAAGCAGAGACTACGTTGGCTCTATACTGGTGGCATATATATGTCATTATTTCCCCAACCTATCTGAAAGTACTTATTACATGAACATTAATTGTTTAGGGTAATGTGAAGGTCGTACGGACACAGAGTGTGATAGATGTGAACAACGAAGACAAGTTTACAGGGCAGTCCACAGAAGAACTTGGATGTGTCAGACCGTTTAGTCATGCCAATGGTATACATTTTGTACTTTTATAAATATCTATTAAGTGTTTGAAATATGATAGAATCAAGTTTCATGCGAATGTACATATGAATATCAATAAAATAATACCTGCTATATATGGTGCTAGATTCGTAGATTTTAAAATAATTACATATACAACACGAGCAACGTACAACTTGTGCACTTGTAACGTCTATAAGGCTCGGCGACACCGTCTCGTTCGTTTATAGGGTGCACATGTAATTAGGTAATGCAATAGTTAAATAACATTCTATTATATAAACAAATGAATAACAATTAATAAAGGGATGATAAAGTTAATACTTTTCAAATTTGATAATGACTAACAAAAAACATGCAATAAGATACAAATTAAACGTGTTGAGTCTTTATTATATGCAGTTATTGAAGTTATTTTATTTCCCTATAGCAATGCTTGGTATATTAGCAAAACAACGGAAAATGAAGGCTATGTCAGGTGCAATATCATTCCCCGAGGTAAGTTCTTTTTCTATCTTATCTTCTTAATCTTCTAGCAGATCATTTTATGTTAATCTTTTAAAGTCATTAGATGAAACTAATTAGTGAACTTTGCAGCAGTGAAAATCAGATTTTCTGTTTTCAAGATATAAGCATATATTCTTTTGCCAATATGCCTTTACTCCAAGAAAATCTCTACAAATGTTTAATAATAACATCAAAAATAGCGATTATTGTTATTTCAGGAAATTGATATTTGAAATATTTATTGACTTTTCAATTCAACATGCAACAGACCAAATAAAGCGTGATAGTATAAATACTCAAAGATAACTTTATCATTATAGTTTCTCTCCGATAACGACAAATCTATCAACGTTGATTGGTAATACATTATGTAATGATGCTGAAGTGTTAGATACACACTGACATCAATTATGATTATTACCTGTAATAACAATGCTTTGAAAGCTAATAGAAGAACACATCAAATGTTAAAGTTAATTAAATTAAGTGATTTATTATCTCGGCCAGGTTTTCATTTTAGCTCGACCATTCGAAGAATAGGGATGCTCAGGCGTCGTTGTCATAGTAACACATTGATTTAATTTTTACGTGCAACATCATTTCTCATCAACAACTATAATATTTTCATTTAACTGAATAAAAGAAAGTCACTGTCCAAGGTCCATAACTCCAGCATAATCTGACAAAAATCTGATTTTACAATTCTTGGTTAAAGTTTTTTTTCAACATTATCAATCTTCGTAATTACTCAGGTCATTCATTTTCCAAGGCCCGTAATGTTGACATGGATTTCATCTTGATTATAGCTCTTTGTGAAAATCGAAAATTATTGGTAATATTAATCTTCAAAACTTCTAAAGACATTCACTTGAAACTTAAAACATGCCTCTGAGATCATAATTCGAGGTCATGGTTCGGAGGCCCATAACTCACTTGGAATTTTGTCATGTATTTTTTTTATTGAAATCCTATATATTTTTTTTGTTTAAATCCTACATTATGTGGGCTCTTATGTTTTACTATCAAGTACTAAGAATGGTTGAGCGGGCTGTCCTTCTGACAGTTTTTGTTAGATATGAGTTAATTATGTAAATGTTTCTGCACTTGTATATACATACCTGCTCGTCTTCATTGCGTTTGTGTCAGTCCTTCTCGAAATCAACTATAGGAGTGATAATGTTTAACATTGTAACGTCGATTGCAACAATATTAAATCATTGTGTGACATTTTAAATGTACCGTTATATATAAATTGATCTAGATCATTCAATGGTTATATAACATGTAGAATACTGACAAACCATTGACAAACTAAATTCAGGGGTATATTCTGTAACATATCAAACAAATAATCAGTCAGTAGGATATATTCATTCTTTCAGTCATGAAAATATGACAAAAAATAAGTTGATTTACGGTTTTAATATTAATGGATATGTTACATGGAGGCAAAATACTTCCGAAAGTAAACATCATATGATATTATGATTACAGGAAGGGTGTGAATCCGAGGTGAGATGAAGTGTAGTTGTTGTTTATCATTTTATTGTTTTATTTTGTTTTGTTTATAGCAATGTATTCGTTATTCTCACAATAATCAAATAGTAAAATAAACTCTGCAACCATTGCCAGGTCATTCAGAGACCAACGATTGAACGGTCTCTGACGGAATATAACTGGGAGCAACATATCAGAAACACCAAAGACACATTGTTCGAAAATCCTGTAAGCTTACCTCCTCCTGAAGCTTCCGCCTTTACAAGCTATTCATTTTGAGAAATCCTTTTTCACTTTTAATATCGTTTCATCATATTGACATTTGAGCCGCGTCACGACAAAACCAACATAGTGCGGTTGCATCCGCGCAGTCTGATCAGGATCCATGCTGTTCGCTTACCAACTCTATTACAAGTAGAGAAACTGATAGCGAACAACATGGATCCTGATCAGACTGCGCGGATGCGCAAGCTGGTCTGGATCCATGCTAGTCGCAAATCCATTATGTTGGTTTTGTCATGACGCGGCTCATTTAAGCACAGTTTTTGTTTGATTATTTGCTTAACGCTGATTTGTTGTTTGTGTGTTTGATTTTCTTATAACTTAATTTGTTTTCCAAGTAATAGGAAAAAAACCTGTTATGAAATTAATACTTGCTTTAAAGTTATGACATCTCCATTAATATACACAACTTTCAAATTCACAATTCAAACAATACAAGAAAAGTATGTACAGACGTCCCTTTTTCTTCTTACAACCCAATAAATACTTTGTTATGTTTGTCTTCTGAAAGAGTTGACATCATATTTCATCATTGGTGTAAGTTTAACTGTAGAACAATTTATTAGATAATGATGATTAAACAGCGAATTATAATCTGACCATTATTTTAACAATCGAAAGGTTATTATCATTTTATTTCATATCTTTTGCTCAGATCAGAATATATCTTGCTCAGATCAGGATACATATAGTTATAAAATGAATGCAATGTTTTACTCACAAACGTATATTTAACATTTTATTACCATAACAATCTGTTTTATATTCTGTTACAGATAACCCGTATGTACCGACCATCCATAGTAACCCTTAGTAACAGCAATAGTTCGTCTCAAGAAAACTCACCCAGACCTGGTTTAAAGAAAAAGCAAAGAGCCAATAGTTCTCCTTGTGCAGGTACTGAAGTATTCTAAAATGTAAGAATGGTAAAGATCCCGTGATCCTGTTGTTAACATTCAGACATGTGAACTCTATTGTGACAATAGAAAACAATCTGAGATATGTTTGTAAATTTTTAAAATGTATTTTTGATTATACTAACTGAAAAAGACATATGAACTCTTTCAACTAAAGTAAATACTTTAAGACAATTGCAATGTAACCATAACGGCAATTAATGTGTCATAATATTTTCATTTTAACTAAGTAGAAAAAGAAGCTGTACTTTTTGTTTTAAATAGAAAGGAGAGAAAAAATAGAGCCGACATTTACAGAAACAAGAGCAAACAGATTGTCTAACATCGCAGAGGACAGCGAAAGTAGTGCTAGTAATGACAAGGTAAATATTCCATACTCTTTTCTAAATTCTTGGAAGAGCTTTTATGATTTTGAAATTACATTTGACTGAGCCATTTTGTAAATCTACAGAGTTTGTTTGAACATTATACACGTTGGGGGTGCTTTTAATAATTTATTGTTTGATTCTGTAATAGTTATTTAAATATTACAACTCCTATGACAGATTTTTTTATGATTTTTTTTTCAATTTTATTGTGTTTCAAAGAAATTTGCAATATCCATTATTACACGTATATTTTAGAAACCTCCGTCACCGGCTTTGGTTATTACATCACCAACACTCATGTCAGGTCCTAACAATCATTCAAACAATAATGATAAACCAGATAGTCCTAAACATAGACAGTCCCTATCATTCCTACCTCCAATCAACAACGAAAGAAGAAACAGTGACTTTGTACCACACGGAACCTACTTAACTAGGTAATATTACGACCCTGTTTATCTTATTTTGTTTGGTCTTCATTTTGAAGGACTTTTATTCCTGCTAATTTTTGTTTGATAGGAGACATTATTTTGATATTACGATATATAACAACAGGCGTTATTATATAAGTCTGATATTTTTCACTTGTACCCTGGTAAATGTTTGAAATGATGACTGTCGCATGCGGTTGCTGATACTGTGACGCCCCAGAAAGAGATGCATGCTATATTTAGTTAGTGCACTATACAGCAGTTGCCCTGTCCCAGAGGCGATCCTGCGTTCTTTTACCTGCCCGGAGTAGAGCCTCATTTCATAGAACCACGGTTTTTAATGTCCTCCGAAATACCGTTTATATTGTTAGTGGAGGAGCAGGGTATCGAACCAGCATTTCCTTGATATCTTGTCCTGCGCGTTACCTCTCGACAACTGACTTATGTAGATTTTGAATGGTGTTGTTAAATGCCATCAGTATAGTGTGAGAGTGGTCATAGTATATCAAAATAACAAAATAGTCAATTTCCAATATGGATCTGTATAATTATAAAACAATATTGCATGAACAATGCTATCCTTTCTAACAATGCTATCCTTTCTTACATATAAACTTACAGAGAAATGACAGACTTTGATCCCGTGTACAAAAAGAAACAAAAGAAGGAAATTATACATAGAGATACGTACCTGCAATTAGATATGCTGAAACCTGGTGATATATTTGTACGTATTATAAATTGATTATATATTTCTAACAAGAAGCTTTCATCATAACCGGATTGTATTAAGTGCTTTGTGTGATGTGGTGCTTTGTATATAATGTATCTGCCATTGAAATTTTGAATTAATAATTGTTAATGTTTGACGTGTGAAACATATTTTGTTTTATTGCACTTAGTTAAGCTTAATAATCGATGCTTTGATTGCTGAAATTTCGTAGTCAGTATATGTTCAAATCTTTAATTTGTTGGCGTTAAGTATGGAACATTTCCTGATAAATTCAATTAAAAATGTTGGCCAATACTTCTTTTTATATAAATAACATATGCTTTTCCAGAATTCGTAACCGAGATAATGACAAAAATTGACCTTAGATACAAGTTGAAATCAGTTTATTTAAATTCAAATTAGATTTTTTTACATTTCATTTACATATCTTGAGGCTAACTTTAATTAATTAAACTGATTCGTGAACAGGTTCAGTAAAACTAAGATATTTGAGGGTTTATATTTTAATAAACTAGAATATAGGGAATCAGGTAAAAATCGGTACAGGAAAATTGCATTTTATATTTATGTTATTTCTATCACTTGTTGAATGTATTGATTTTGTTGATAAATAAAAGGTTGGTAAAGGAATACTAAATAAAAAGGTACACTGCACAAACTATTTAGAATAGATATTATTACTATTTTTAGACTTCATGACTAATTGTTTGAATTTTGTTTGTTAGATCGTAGTTATTCTGTTTAACATTTTATCATTGATAATTTCTTTGTTTCTCAATGAAATTTCTGATTAAGACAAAAAAGCTCGTTGTTTCTTCAAGTAACGACATAATAATGGAAAAAAAATGAGAAAATTTTGTTAAATATTCGTAAAAACCTTTGAAAGTTTTATATAAAAAACGTATGCCTGTTATGAAGAAAATTAGAAAAAAGTAAGAAAGTTATTATGACCATGTTATTTCTTTAAATATATTAACATTCTTTGCTCTGAAATAGAACGGTAGCACACTTTCAGCACGACTTTTTTTCAGGACATTTATATCTTATGTGTGCTAATTCTTGATTTAGTGTTTAGTGAAAAATTATAAATTTGAAAATTATATATTTGCCTTCTTTGTAGGCATATATTTGAAAATGAAGTAATAGCTACTGTCTAGGATTTAGTAAAATGTCTAAAGACTTCTATTCCTAGATAACCTAGGTAACTCACCGCCCCTCACCACCTCAAGTTCGTTTACAAAAATAAACCATTATTTTCATGCAAGAAAAGCATCTAGCGGAGGCACCACACGGAAGGCAATTGGAGCCTTCATACAAAGTACATGTAAACTTTCAAATTAGAGTTCATAATGTAAAATCCAAAGAAATACATTATAAATATTTACGCTCTATAATCTTAGGGAATAGCGGGATTATCAGAAATGTTTAGAAGTATGTACCCAATAACTGGCGTGCATGGCGTGAGTATAACATGTAACATAACCGTGTTTTGTAAAACCATCGTATGTTCACGAACAAGTTACCTCCCTTGTATAATCACAATCTTAAAACGCATGGTGATATACTTTGATGACAATAGATTATAAATTTTTTATCAATTTATTTATTCAATACGACAGATTTATTTGTCAAATACAGTACTGATTGAAATTACACTACAATAGCTTGCATGCAGGCATGTAATAACCTTGATAAACCGCTTTTATTTTCACTCGTTATCTTTTTTGAACATATGATTTAATTGCAACCTCTTGTTTTTATCTGATAACTACAGTTGTCCTTTTTTACAGAAATTATTTAAAAAATACATTAAATAAATCAGTTGTCCGCTTCTTAACTGAAAGTTTCTCCGCGTGAAATCTGTGAAAATCAGTCTTGTAGAACTACCTTCTGCAGATCATATTTGTAGTTAATGTAGCATTGTTGTAAATAAACAAGTAAGATGTAAATATCAAATATTAGAACTATCGACCAATCATCGTTGTTTTATTTAAAAAAAATGACTATATGCATATACCCCCTCATCTTATTACAATATATACATTAGTATTACAGTTATATACATGTGTTTGATATTATATTAACTTATTAAAATGTACTCGTACATATTTGTTATCAAATAATTGTCATAATTAGATACGTTTTTGTATGACGAAATATATTATTCTTTCCTTTAAATCAAATATTGTTTGTCTATTGTAAGGCTTTCAGATTTTCTTTCTATTTAAAATGAATCAGCATTTCTGATTTAAAATTTCTAGAAGGGTTTAACAGATTATCAGAGCTTAATGTTTTTATGTCTCTATTAAGAATCATATTTAATTTGCAGGGTTTCGAACACATTGAGCCACAAGCACTTGCTTCCGAAGCCCCTGGAGTTACTTTGGTAAGTGAATAATTTCATTGTGACTATAACGCGAAACTCATGTCTCAATTTTTAATACTATTTTCACACACGGTAAACTCCAGTTGTAACGATATCGCTTATAACGATATACCGCTTATATCGATATACCGCTTATAACTATATACCGCTTAAAACGACGCTGTTGCCGTAGTCACGACTAAGTTCTTCTAAAATATATCTCGTATGTTTACATGCCGCTTATATCGACATAATATTGTGTAATATTGTGATTTTATCCAAGTTTTCTGCCTGAAATATCTATGTGCTGTCGTGAGCGTAGAAACAACATAGTTTATAAATTATTGTTGTTATATTTTATTGCATTTTTTCAGATAAGTGATGGAGCTGAAATTATTAAGATCAGTAAAAGATTTTTTCTCCAGCATGCTAAGAATAACACTATGCTTAAAGTGGAAACAATGGTATGTTTGACTTTCTTCTATTTCAACATATTATTTATACATTGTAGTTTAAAATCAAAACCTGATAATTTTTCTTTTCAAGTGTATTAACGGTTTTTCATTTCAATTACTAGCGTTACATAATGGATTTGCATAGTATCACAACAGAGCTGACAAGAAATTAGATTTTCACAATAAAACCCTTTTTAGCTCACGTGAGCTAGCTCAGGGTGAGCTTTTAGGATCGTTGAATGTCCGTCGTCTGTCGTCCGTCGTCCGTCCACACTTGTTCGTTAACACTCTAGCGGTCACATTTTTGCCTCAATCATCATCAAACTTTGTCAGGATGCTTATCTAGTTGATAGCTCGGATGAGTTCGAACATGGGTCATCTCGGATGAAAAACTAGGTCACAGGAGCTAAAAATAGAAAAACCTTGTTAACACTCTAGCGGTCACATTTTTGCCTCAATCATCATCAAACTTAGTCAGGATGCTTGTCTAGGTAATAGCTCAGATGAGTTCGAACATGGGTCATCTCGGATGAAAAACTAGGTCACCGGAGCTAAAAATAGAAAAACATTGTTAACACTCTTGTGGTCACATTTTTGCCTCAGTCATCATCAAACTTGGTCAGGATGCTTGTCTAAGTGATAGCTCAAATAAGTTCGAATATGGGTCCTCTCGGATGAAAAACTAGGTCATCGGAGCTAAAAATAGAAAAACATTGTTAACACTCTAGTGGTCACATTTTTGATTTAATTACCATCAAACTTGGTCAGGATGCTTGTCTAGGTAATTGCTCGGATGAGTTCGAACATGGGTCATCTCGCATGAAAAACTAGGTCACAGGAGCTAAAAATAGAAAAATCTTGTTAACACTCTAGTGGCTACTGTTTTGATCCAAGTATCCTGGAAATTGGTCTGAAAGTTTGTTTTGATGATTTCTAGGTCAAGTTCGAATATGGGTCACCTGGATAAAAAACTAGATCACACTGCTTGTAATCCTTGTTAACACTCTAGTGGTCACATTTTTGACTCACCTGTCCTGAAACTTCGTCAGAATGCTTGTCTAGGTAATTGTTCGGATGAGTTCGATGGGTAAGGTGAGCGATCTAGGGCCATCTTGGCCCTCTTGTTTATAATTTTATCCGGAAATAAGTTCTTTGTTAAAACCTACACTTATTTTGAGCAATTTTCTTCATATTAGGACGTCACTATATCTTTATTTCAGCAAAGAGAATACATGTCTCCGGATGAGGCCAAAACTGTAATGTATGATAAGGAAACTTGGAAACAATTCAAGTCCGTTCTGCTACAAAGGACAGTGGATAATTTACACCGGAAACACATGGAGAAAGTTACCTGATGAATACAATAATCAAATAGTGTTAGAAACACTATTATATGTGTGCATTTGCCAAACGAAAAACAGTTCAATGTCTGTGATAAAATACTTTCAAAAAACCCAATGTTATGACTTGTTTATAGATGTAACATAGACTTGATTATTTAGTAACATTTGCAATATATTTGCATTTATTTATATCACATTTCGGTGCTTTCATACATGCATTTCATGTTATATATTATAAGAGATAACGTATTTTTGCATGTTATATATTATAAGAGATAATGTATTGTTGCAGTTACTATACACACTGTGGTGCAATAGCGAACCAGTAGTGACTGTTTTGTAAATTTGAGATGTGTATTTCATCTTATTCGAATGTTTAGACTTACCATATATATTTTGTCCACTGATAAAGAAAATAATGTATATGCATGTATACATGTTGTCTTTATTTTTAATGTTACAGTAAACAACGTTCAAAGTTAAGATACAGTATTCCTTATCAACGGGTAACCTATACACATCATACTTAGATAACTTTAACGGACACAAAGTTCATTAATAAACCACACATAATTACGACACAGAACTAGGTAAAGGAACGAAAATAGATATTTTGTACGGGTACCATTGCACCTTCTTTAACTAACTAAACATATTATAAAAACGTTGCATTTTAAATTGCAGCACTTTTATTAAAGTAATTTGGAACCCTAGACACCCATGGAAACACATTTAATTAGTTGAAACTCATAGACTCACAATGGACAGTGTCACATACCTCGCACCGTCCTTAACATTATTCTTTAGACTCAATTTTGCCGGAGATCCTGAAAATATAACAATATCCATTGCAAAACCATACCAAATTATTGTATGTTAACGGCGGGAAATTAAAAATTAAAATGTTTTTATTATGTTTATGATTTCCTAACTTGATATAGATAAGCAAGTTTCATATTCAAAAAGAAAAAATGTCTTGCCTAGACTCCGATACAACTAATGAGACACAATAAAGCTCTTGTTTTTTTTTAAAAAACCTGAAAACACACAATACTAAGAATATAGATGGAAACGGTTGGCGTTCCTTTTGACACATAATCAGAAACTTTTCTACAACTTTTAAAAGATGGCAACATGAGTTATAGATATAATATAGATAGAAATTAATTATGAAATATAATATGAGCACACATTTTTGTAACTGAAAAAAAAGAAGAAAGAAAAAATACTTAATCAAATTGACATTATGCCCATTCAAGTGCAAATGGTGAGTGCAAATGCAAAGGTAAACGTCGAAGTAATTTTATATTTTGATATAATTGTGTCCGGTGCACGTCATTTCGTCGAAGGACATCTCGTCAAATAAGACAGTTTGTCGAATATGACATTTTGTGACTACGACAACAGATCTAAAGTAATATGTTAAATTACGACAATTGATCGGAAATAAATTTTAATCATACACCACTTGAAATCGCCCCAACCACACAAATTCTGAGGCGCGCTTGATTAGATGGCTATAATGGTAAGTAAATATGAATAAAGATCAGCTTGGTCAACTACCGTTAACTATGAAACATATAGACAAGTACAAGAAAAATCAATATCCGAGAACAGCGCTTATGAATTTTTTCCATACTTTAACATCTGCAGTTTATTAAAGTCTTTTGCAGATGTTATTACTCAGAAAATACCCCATGCATTAACCCACTATTGATAAATTACCAAGAATGTTGTCAAACAGAACCATATATTTTTAGTAGCACATTTGATATTTATGTATATGAGCCGTTTACTTTTTATAAAACGCTGTCACATTAATATTAGTGAAACAAAATATGTGCAAAACTTAAATACAAACCCAATTATGTTATAGCAGTTTGAATACTAGGACACGGAAAGAGAGATATCAAAATATTAAATAGAGCTTTTGATTTTTCCATATCAGCGTATTTTTAACTGTAAACAACGATGAACATAGACGTTGAACTAATATTGTATTAATAGAGATCTTTATGAATATTTCATTTTACTATAAATACTACTACACCATAAATGAAACACATTATCATTGAAGGATGGTAGATTACTTTGTTTACAATCGATAGTTAAATATAGAGGTATATTACGAGCATATAAACATCGTTGATTTCCGTGTATCCTGTGTAACAACAATATATTTCTGTTGTTTAGTGAATTCGATGGGAAGGATATTTTGTTTTATCATATAGTTCAGGGTTTAACTTAATACTTCAATTCTAAATTTGTCTATTACAGCATAGGCTACAAAGGGAAACAACTACACATATATTTAGCATTGTATCTATCACATACATGTATACTATTTAGCTCTTAACCTTTACCAAATTATCCAACTATTGTGTTGATTTTATTTCTAATTCTGTTATTGTTAAAAAAAAGTTGCGTACATTTTCATTTTAGCAAATGATGGCTGGTGCCACATCAATATTTTCTGAACGTATTGTAAAATTCACAATTTATGTGTACAAGAAGATTGGTTAAAATTCTGGAAACAAAGTGATCCCTCGGAAGCATTAATCACAACAAAATTACATAAGAATTGCAGACTCGGTTTGATTGAGTCTGTACATGAGAGATAATGAATAAGTGCAACATCCCTCACGCCCCCTAGCACCGGCTTGAGCGGTACTCAATTCTCAACACTTAATTGTGCTGGCATCAATGATCCCGAAGGACCAGAAAATATAACAACACTGAAGTGAAGTACGGGGCAACTTTTTACAGCTGCCACACGGCACTTGGCACCTGCTGTTGTGAAGTACAAAATTCTGGAAACAAAGTGATCCCTCGGAAGCATTAATCACAACAAAATTACATAAGAATTGCAGACTCGGTTAGTACCGTCCATGAACAGGCTCAATCAAACCGAGCCTGCAACATTTTCAATTTTGCCGTGTTGGGCTTTCTTTAGGGATTCTTTTTTCTCTATTCTATTTGATTGAGTCTGTACATGAGAGATAATGAATAAGTGCAACATCCTCACGCCCCCTAGCACCGGCTTGAGCGGTACTCAATTCTCAACACTTAATAGTGCTGGCATCAATGATCCCGAGGGACCAGAAAATATAACAACACTGAAGTGAAGTGCGGGGCAACTTTTTACAGCTGCCACACGGCACTTGACACCTGCTGTTGTGAAGTACAAAATTCTGGAAAAAAAGTGATCCCGTAATAGAAAATAAGCCACTTATTAGAAAATGTTTTTATGTCCGCTAGTAGTGTATTGATCACTATGGATATGTTAGAACTCGGAGCAAGAAATGAAACACGAGCACAGATACAAAAAACACTCAGTCAAGACAATATTGAATACGACACATTATTAACCAGCCTGCAAGCGTTTGTTGATATTTTCAAGGAAATCGGCAGTTTTGTTGATATTAGGTCAGCAAACAAAATTTACCCACTTGCGGGTAAGCATATAGACGGGGATTATCTAGAGAAAGTGAATAGATATTTCAAAGCTGAAATCACCAGTTTAGATTATGGATCATCACCAGAAGAATCAAGGTCAGAAATAAACCATGGGGTAGAAAAAGAGACGAATGTCAGAATTAAGGACATCTTGGCACTTGGATCAGTAACCTCTAGTACTATGGTGATCGCCGTCAACGCAAGATACTTTACAGGTAATGGAACGAACCGTTCAACAAAGCTGTAACACAGAAAACCGATTTCCTTGTGACGAATGAAAATATAATGCTAGTTGAAATGATGGGGAAAACGTTGGATAGAGTTAAATATACAGAGAGTAGAAAGTATGGCTGCAAAGTATTAGTGGTAACAATCAAGGAATGGTTATGTTATTACCAGATGACATTGAAGGGCTGTACTCTTTAGGAGGCCGTCTGTCATCTTCTATGTTAGATGAACTAATGACACAGTTAAGTGAAAGGAAAGTTGTTGTAAATTTGCCAATATTTCAGATGGATACCTCTTACGAGATGAAAGATGTTCTCACATTTCTCGGCATGCATGACATGTTTGAAGCTGACATGGCGGATTTGTCAGGTATCGGAGAAGGTCTTTTTGTTACAACTGTTATTCATAAGGCATTTGTAGAGGTGAATGAAGAAGGTACAGAGGCTGCTGCAGCGACGGCGATGATAATGGCAACGACTTGTGCTATTAGTATATTCCAACATTTGTTGCAAATCATCCATTTTTGTTTATGATTTGGGATCATAGAATTCAGGCCCCTCTATTCATAGGAAAATTGATATACCCGAGGCAATCACATGATCAATTACTGAATAGCTGCATGATATGTATCTTGTTAACCATCCTGTTTAAGAAAAAAAACTGTCGTTATTACAGTCTGGAAAACCATTACATATAGTTTAATATCGTTCTCAAACTTTGGAGAGAGACAAATTTAAGACTATTATGACTTTACATTCATTTGATGTAAATATTTTTAGATATTAATAGAAAAAACACAGACATATTGCTATTTATTTATTTTTTATTTGATTTTAAAATGATATGATGACTATATTTAAATGACATTACCCATAACAATATAAATACATAATAGTATATCTGTGTTTCTCCAATTATATTTATTGATTATCTGCGGGTAACAATTTAACAAAAAATGAATCATCAAGATAATAAATAGAGTGTGTTTAATGGTTATGATATTGTCAAGTTAAGAATGATATAGGCTGACATGAGGCACTAACAGTCCACATGAATGATCTTAAATATATCAACCTGTTAGTAATTGGGTACAAGTATGTGAACAATGATTAAAAATCTTATAAGTCAAGTTAACCTTTATATATATTATGAATGCAGATTTAGATTCATTTCTCAGACTCTTTGTGTATTTTTCAAAGTTTTGACGGTCACAAAAACTTTTAGTTTAAAGCATCTTTTAATTGCTTTACCTTTTGCAATATCACTGTCACGACACAAGTAAATGGCATTATGTTTAGCGGTGCGCTGCTATATAGCACGTCAAAGTATGTGAGACTGTATGACGTATTTCATGAATTATTTCGACAGTCTCGACTCTCTGCTCTGCAATATCATCATCCTATACGTTGTTGTTTATGTGAGCGTTACATTATACTCTTCAAACACAGTCTTTAATTTATGAGACACATCTGTGTACATTCAACAAATGTGGAATAAAGTTGGCACCACTCATGACTTTAATATATCTAATCAGCTTTTATCAAATGAATTGTCAGTATGTGAAACATTTAGATGATTTAATCTGTTGTTAAAGTTTGTTACGTAGAAATATTGATTTGAGTATGACATAATTCTTAGACAGATTTACATTTTAAATTAAACATCATATGATTACATGGTTTGTATCATTTATAGTTTGAATAAAGTATTCTCACATGCGCGTCGGGGTGACATATTGTTACAATTTTGCAAACAACTTCTTTATACCTTATTAGCCCTAAAAGAAATTCGCATAACATATAGATATCTTTAATAACAATTTTAGGTTGTCATGTACATGTATATAATAACTCGGTAAAATATCTTCTTTAATGTCATAAGGGTGATCGACTTCTTAAAAGAAATAAACTTGTAAGATAAGATTTTTACCCATTTTATAACGGATTACTAACGTTTTTTTTATTGGTTTTTGGTTGTTTTTGGTAATCTTAAGTTGACAATTGTAGTGTTTGGCGCGCTATGGCCAGAAATGTGTTAATGTGCCGTTAAACCGAAACAAACCAACAATCAAAGTCTGGAATCCATAAGCCAAGAGCTTTTGATAATGTATTTCTGTTATCTAAATTTTTCTGTTATATAAATTTATTTTACTGATAAGATTTATTGAACATAAAATGATAAACTAGCTAGTTAAAAAAAATACACAAAAAAAAAACCCAAAAAAAAAACCAAAGACGTTTGGAGATAATCATTTACTTCGGTTTGATAATACATTTTTTTACCGAAATGAGATTAACTTCTATTAAAAAGCGCACCAATTTCTTAGGACACTATCGTGATAGATATCAGTGCCATAAGATATATAGAGGCAATCCATGTATATCTAAAAATTGAACTGAAAAGTTATTTTTTTTGTATCTCGAGAATAATCTAATTCATATTCTTAATCTAATTCTTATTCTTATAATTCACTTTGATGAAATATATTTCATAATTTAATAACATATTTTGTTGTGAAAAGGAAAACATACGAAAGAACGACACACAGATCTGTTGCCCAAAATGAATTATATCATGAAAAGGCATGCTTATATGTAGACATCAATTTTCATTGTAAGCAAAACCAAACTAATTTTAAGAGAAAGAAATCGGTTTACGAGATTAAGTTGAATACTTTACTAAATTGAAATTATGCTTGTATAGTGAAAAGACGTGCATATTTTGGACTAGTGTCTGCATCTTTCGTTGTATGCTTTGCCTTGTCGATCTTTATTCTCTTTTTTTATATTATTGGTTTCGATAGATATACAATACTTCAAGGTTCAGATACGAGTTTTTGATTCTATATCATCAGATCTTTAGTAATGTAATATGAAAATAATAATTATACATACTCATGCAACAATTCTCAGATATACTGATAAGTAGGGAATAGGAATGAAAGAGTATCTTGGCAGATATGCTTCGAGCTACTATAAACATAAATAGAAGTCTAAATAATTTTAAGACGGTACGATATTGGATCTATGTAGCCGTAGAGAAATATCGTTTATCAAATAATGTGTATTTATTTGTCTCCAAATTTTAAATTTTAAATCGAGATTCCATTACTCGTTCTTTTGAGTGGAATACCGTATCTTTTAGATAAACGTTTTACTGAAAAGAAAAAAAACAACGAAAGTCACAGCTAAAATCATTTTATTGACTGCAATTTGTTTGACAGTATTTCAAGATTTAGACTGTGATAAGCGTATAAATCAGCAATTGTTATATTTACATTGAGGATGAGCTTGAACGTTTTATGATTGTAGATGTGTTTTAAATATCCTTCAAGCTTTGCTACACATACATTATATTCCTTAAAAGAGAGATATGACAGCATTGCAGACACATTGTTATTAAGCATATAATTGATAGCATAAATCCGTCTGTGGATTTATTTTTTAAATTCTAATCAATTATCTGCAAGGATCAGACTGAATATTACAGCACGGCTTGTTTAGTCACAGCAAAGCATTTAACATGTTGCTTTGCCAACATCTATTACGTTATAGAAATGTACCTCGGCAACAATGATAAAGCACAAACTACATGTATATAATGACTCTGAATGTATTCTTACGGATAACTTTTTCAGAGTTTTGTTTTACATTTTAATTCTATGGTCAGAATATGATGCATTTGGAGACATGAGTTCCTAATGCTCTTTTGCTCCTTATACTGTAAATGTATATCTTCAATAAAGATATATTCTTTACTATAAAATGTTTTAGCTCGATGTTATGCGTTATGCAAACGATTCAAGGAAATATACTGTCTGTACATTCGTGGAAATGGAAGATAATACAGCACATCAGAAATTAGGTTTACGACTATTAGTGCTCGATCTGTTAAAGCTACATGCATCCAGATGAAACAAATATTTCAAGAAAATCAAACTTGAGGAAATATACTCAAATTTAAAGACATTTAACAACAAGATTTAAGTAATTATATACATGTTTCGTGCGATTAATCACTGATTTTGCAGTATTTATCACCATGTTTCATCTTACTGCATTACTAACACATTAAGGACATTTATGCATATTTGAACCTCTTTTTTGGTAATTTATTTGGATTGCCGTTTACAATTACTTTTCTTGTTCACTGTGCAATAGTTTACTTTTCAATACATTTTCAAAATTTTCATTTACATTAGCATGAATCTGGAGGCATGCTGTTTTAAGAACAGCTATAAGCATAACACATAGAGCAAATGTTTTTTCGCTACAAATCCGTAAGCCTTTGTGAAAAATATAAGATTACAAACAAATAAATTGTAAAGTTGAGCATGTGAGTAAACAGATGTATATGATTTGCGTTTTAAAACGAGATACTTAACAAGGTGGGAAGCTAATAAAACGGCAAAAACAGTTACATCGAAAATGCGACAAAGTCGGTTTTTCATTTTCAATTTTGCCGTGTTGGGCTTTCTTTAGGAATTCTGTTTATCTCTATTTTATGGTCACATCAGTGTTATTTGTGCCGTGTGGCGGCCGTAAAAAGTCTCCCCGTACATTTAATCAAAGATGTTATATTTTCGATCCTTGAAGATCGTTCAGCACGACATATTTGTTGTGTATTCATGTTATGTGGTATTTTTAGTTTCTTCTATTAGGCCTTTTTCAACTTGGGTGGTTCCAGTATTCCTACTTGAATACTGTATAATTACCCTTAGCGTATGTGACCTGCTTTTTTAATTTGTCTTTTGACGTATTATCTGTGATATGCAGGCTTCATAACCTCTGATCCCCTTTCAAAATTCCATTTTATTTAGTCCTGCCCATTGTTTTCTCGTTTAGGGCACACGCATTTTTTTTACTTGGGGACCATATGCCGCTTTTCATGGAATGGCACTTAAGTGTCACATTGAAGTTTCCATGATAACCGCCATATGAACACATCTGCGCATGTTTCAAACTTCCAAATTGTACCAGTTCATGTTTAATGTTGAATTCTGCTTAAGCCGGTGCTAGGGGTGTAGACGCTTACTTGCACTTTCCAGTATCGTCCATGAACAGGCTCAATCAAACCGAGCCTGCAACATTTTCAATTTTGCCGTGTTGGGCTTCTTGAGGGATTCTGTATTTACATGTGTATCTATTTTCTTTAGGGATTCTGTTTTTCTCTATTTTATGGTCACATCAGTGTTATTTGATGCCTGTTGTGCGGACGTAAAGGTCTCCCCGATACTATTTAATCAAACGATGTTATATGTTTCGAAGCTGTCCATGCATTAACCGCCATATGAACACATCTGCGGATGTTTCAAAATTCCAAATGGTACCAGTTCATGTTTAATGTTGAATTCTGCTTAAGCCGGTGCTAGGGGGCGTAGACGGTAATTTGCACTTTCCAGTATCGTCCATGAACAGGCTCAATCAAACCGAGCCTGCAACATTTTCAATCTTGCCGTGTTTGGCTTTCTTAAGGGATTCTGTTTATCT